TCCAAGGTCTTTCATCTCAAACTCTGCCGATAATTTCTCTTTGAGCAAATGTCTCTCAGTCAAATCATCTCCTGTAACAATAATATCATCAACATAAACAAGAAGTACAGTCAATTTTCCTTCCTGTGAATGTTTAAAAAATAAAGTGTGGTCTCCTTGACTTTGCTTATAGCCCAAACACACCATTGCCTTTGTGAATCTTCCAAACCATGCCCGAGGGGACTGCTTTAGTCCATATAAGGCTTTCTTCAATTTACACACCTTGTTAGCTTCATTTTTTATGCCAACACCCGGTGGAATCTCCATATACACTTCTTCCTCTAAGTCTCCATGCAAGAATGCATTTTTAACATCAAACTGTTGCAATTCCCATCCACATGAAGCAGCAAGAGATAGTAAAATTCGAACAGTGTTCATTTTTGCCACTGGGGCAAATGTCTCCTCATAATCAATACCATATGTCTGAGTATAACCTTTTGCCACTAGTCTTGCCTTGTACCGATCAAGTGTGCCATCAGATTTATACTTTACGGTATAGATCCATCTGCATCCAACCGGCTTTTTGTCTCTTTGCCTTTCAATAATCTCCCAAGTACCATTTTTTTCAAGTGCTCTCATTTCCTCATCCATAGCTTGGACCCAATTTCTATTTTGCAATGCTTCTTCAACTGATAATGGGATTTTCACAGAATCAACAGCTGCAATAAAACTTTGATATTGTGTGGAAAGATGTTTAGTGGAGACATATTGAGAGATAGGGTGTCGATATAAGGAGGGACAAGATCTTTTATCCTTCCTCAAAGCAATGGGTAAATCAACTGGATTAGTGTCACAAGTATCAGAAATAGAACAATCATCATTTGAGGAATCATTTTCAGTACTTACCTCCAGTTCAGACAATTGAATTTGTTTCTGGAGAAGGTCAGATTTACTTCTTCTCTGATATACTAGAGTTGGTGCTGAAGGTGCTGATTCCTGTGGAACATAAGGCATTGAAGGACCAGGAACAATTACTGACTCAGATTCAGGTGTTGAACTAGGACTCAAACTCAAACTAGGTGACAACTCGGGTTCAAGAGAGGGAACACTGACAGGTGTTCTCGGGAGGCTAGGACCAAGGATCAGAAACTCGGACTCAGACTCTAAGTCACTCATGTTCTCCCCCTGAGACTGAGAATGAGTGAAGTATGACACATTTTCATGAAAGGTGACATCTTTGGAGACAAAGAATTTCCGACTCGGAGGATGATAACATTTGTACCCTCTTTTATTGGGTGCATAACCCAGAAAGATACATCTGACAGCACGGGGATCCAACTTGTTGCGATATTGTTTGTGAACATGAACAAAAGCAACACAACCAAACACGCGAGACTCAAGATTATGTAAGATAGGAACAGAGGGAAAACGTGAGAGCATAAATTGAGCAGGACTAATATTACCTAACACTCGAGATGGGACCCGATTAATCAGATAGGCAGCAGTAAGAACTGCCTCCCCCCAATAAGAGGTGGGAACAGACATTTGAAACAGGAGAGATCGAGCAACTTCAAGTAAATGACGGTTTTTTCTTTCTGCGACACCGTTTTGTTGTGGGGTGTCAACACATGTGAATTCATGAAGAATGCCATGTTTACTAGTGAAGTTGGAGAAGGTATGATTGACATATTCTTTACCATTGTCAGAACGAACTCTTTTTATACATTTCCCAAATTGTGTTTGTACCATATTATAAAATTGGATAAATATTTGTGGTACTTCGGATTTAGTATTCATCAAGAAAATCCAAGTTACCCGAGTACAATCATCAATAAATGAAACAAACCATTTTGCACCAAAAATATTAGAGGTAGGGGCAGGTCCCCAAACATCAGAATGAATCACATCAAAAGGTTCAGCACTTTTATTAAAACTGGAAGGAAAAGTTACACGATTGTGTTTTGCCAATTGACAAACATCACACTTAAAAGACTCAACAGAATGGTTTAAAAACAATGACGGAAACATAGACTTAATGATATAAAATGGAGGGTGACCGAGACGCTTGTGCTGAAGCCAAATGTGTGAGGCTGAAGAGGAAGACTGAGACTGGAGACAGGAGGACAACACCTTTGGATGGTCATCAGAGAAGTAGTATAACCCTTCCTTTTCCTTAGCAATTCCAATCGTCTTCCCCGTGGTAAGGTCCTGAAAAATACAATGGGACATAAAAAACGTTACTTTACAATTTAGATCACGGGTAAGCTTATGGATGGAAATCAAATTGTGGGAAAGTGTGGGAACATGAAGCACGGATTGCAATTGAAATGGAGGTTGCAAGTCAATATTTCCAGTGCCAACAACACAAGCCTGAGAGCCATCAGCAACAGTGATATAAGGAATACTCGAAGGTGTGGTATAAGAGCATAATAATGTGGAATCAAATGTCATATGATTAGTAGCACCAGAGTCAAGAATCCACGCATTCTTAGGGATATTACCACAAACAGTAAAAGATCGGGAACACAAACTCTTACCGGTAACTGCTAGAGACCCAGAACCAGAAGGCTTACTCATGGAGTCAAGCATAGACTTCAACCGTTCCACGTCATTCTGGCTGAAGGAGGAAAGATCAGTTCCCTCTTTTTTAGATCTGTCAGTATCATGGGCATGTGTGACAACATGTGCCTGATGCTGGTGCATGTTGCGAGAACTACCTCCTCGGCTAAGAACCTGTTCCCTTCCATGTAGTTTGAAACACCTATCCTTTGTATGCCCTGATCGGTTGCAATGCTCACAATAGAATTTGTCACGACCATTCTTAGATGATGACGATGGTGGTCCTTGTCTTGTTGTTTTTCTAGCTACTAGTGCTGACACATCCGGGGGCTGTTCATGAAGCATAGTTTGACGACGGGTCTCCTCACTACGAACAGTGTAAAAAACTTCATTAAGATCAGGAAATTTTTCCTTACCCAAAATCTGCACCCGAATGGGGTCAAATTCAGCATTAAGGCCGGCTAAGAAATCAAAGATCCTATCCCGCTCAACAACAGTATTCAAGGTGGCAGTATCCTTGCTGCACTCCATCTTCAAATTCTGATATTGATCCAACTCAATCCAAAAACCATTGAGAACTCCAAAGTAATCGTTGACCGAAAGACTTCCCTGCTTAGTGTTGAATATTTTCCTCTTTAAATCATAACAAGCAGACATATCTTGTTTCATGGAATAACTTCGACGAAGATAATCCCAAACTGCCTTTGCACTTGAGAGATACATGCAATTTCTACTAATTTCTGGAGATATGGAGTTCCAAAGCCAAGTAATAATAGCAGAATCATCTTTATCCCAGGAAGAGAAATTAGGAGCAGTAACCAGAGGAGGATTGCCTTCAATATGATCTAGCATGTCACAACATTTTAGAGTGTGTCTGATGAACTGAGACCATTGAAAATAATTTTTTCGGGTAAGCCAGTAACCTTTTTGAACGACAAAATCCTTAGCATTAAATGGGACTGGTGGATTTGTGGGAGGTGGAGGCGGAGGTGGTTGTTGGTTAATAATCTCGGCCATTGAAGGGACAATCGAGAGGAACAAACAGCAGATATGTATTGAATCACAAAGAAAAAATACAAGGAAACCAAAAAACAAGCAGTAGGGTTGCAATAGAACTGCAATAGAATGAAAAAACAGCAATGATCCAAACACCCAAAAAAAAAAAAAAAAACTGCAAAGATGACCGGCAGTGAAAAAAAAGAAAAAATACACCGTTACAACGGCGGCTAGGGTTTATGCGGAAGCGAGACCCCTAAAAAACAGGAGCTGAGATACCATATTGTAAAATATTTCACTGATAGAATTAAAAGTTCTCTTTACAATGTTGCAACTACATGCTTTAAATAAGAGAGAATAGAAAACCTAATGGGTTTGACTAATGGGCCTCATTACTAATACTACTAATTACTATTTACAGTCTAATATTTACAACAAAATCAATAAATAACACAGGGAATTGTTGACCCAGTTTGGTGCAAATCACACCTACTCTGGGGGCTACCAAACCAGGGAGGAAATCCACTATAAGCAGTGTTAATTCAGAGCCAAACAACCAGTTTGCACTCTTCACTTAAGACCTACCCAATGCAACTTCAGCCTAACACTAGACCTGAGTTCCTACTCACTCCCCCTCAAACACAGCAGTGATGTCAACCAATTAAGTTACAGATTAAAATGAAGACACACTTCAAACAAATCTTGATCTTGCTTCACAACTTCAATCAAGAGACACAGCACTCGTGCTTAAAAGCTTAGAGTGACACAATCAACATACAACTCAAGAACACACTAGTCCAATATAATCATCTAGGTAATGATTGTTTGGCTCACAAGTAATCCTAAGACACAACACACACGTGAAGATCAAATTGCACAAAACCAGAATTCTTCACTCACAAAAACTCTGTACACAATCAGGATTGCTACTTCGTTATTTATATGCAGCGTATGGTCCTTGGGCCTCAGTGCAGAAATTAGGTTTAACCAAGTTAAACCTCTTTTCATAAATCAGCGTTCTTTCAATTAGGTCATAGGCATTTCACGTTATGCTCAGCACTGCCTGGCATTTCGCCTGAAATAACTAAGATCCCAAAAATGTTTCCTAAAATCTAGCCTGAGCTAACTCATGCATTATACCAGAAAAACAAAACACGCGCCCTTGCTGGCCGCTACCTGATGTCATAACATCCAACATGACATTCAATACTCTCTGTTCTACCTCACCAAACTTACCCTGCAATACACTACACAAGTATGTCATGACATCAGTCATGACATCTACACACAACAATGTTTTACCATAAAATGCAATCAATCAAGAACATCTACAATCAGGACAAGAAAAAGTATATTTCCTTCAGGTATAAAAAAAAGTAAGCATCAGCTACAAGACTAGGATTATGTAATAATAATTAGAAGTCATGCTGATGAGACCTCACAAGTTAATTTTGAAAACCACTTACCAATCGTCCACCTGCAATTATGGCAGTAATGGCAACTGCTGCTTTAACAGCTGCCAGACCAAGAGCTTCAGCAATGGCTTGAAAACCAACCTGAAAACAGAGATTGTCTTTTTTATGCATGACAAACTAAACCATTGAATATTTCATGTCATAAACTTTCTCAGTCTTTACCGAGGATCGTGCAACTTAACCGTATTCAAAACAGCTAAATCCCAGAACCAAAATATTGTCTCCCTGTCGGAAATAAGTATTTTATGACAAGGGAGTGTCAAGAAAAATCTTACCCCTCCTTTGGAAGAATTAGGTGAAATAAGAGGTATGAGTATTAGCAAGACTACGACAGCCAAATCCTGAATAAGAACAAAAGAATAAAATAAACTTTGGGTCAAAATATTGCAACACCAATTAAAGAAAGATATGAAAGGCATTCAAAGCTAATAAAAAAATCAGCAAAATCTGAAATTTCAAATTCACACCATAATTGACCAGATAAAGCAACAGAGTGCAGGATGCTTAATGAGAATCTCGACAGAATCATGGTTATTAGTCTTGGATAGCCGCGTGTAGCGACTGACCTAAAAATCACTATAGCAGGATAGCGCACATTGCAATGGCCGCCATTTTTTATAAGTAAAATAAAATATGCTGATTAATAACCAATATTATCTACATATTAATGCTCAAATTTTTAAAATAAAATACTCTAAGTTCATGATATATATTCACAGTTAACAATAGCCATATGAATGGCCCAACACCCCTCTCTCCCTTTCTTCCATCAGCCTACCTTCCTCCCTCAATTGTTTTTCCTTTCAGAAAAGTGTAGCAATCACACCTCCTACTCCCTAACCCCTAAGATCTAGAAACCACAAATCCTCATTTTTTTCTTCTTCAATTAACAATAGCCATACGGATGGCCCAACAGCCCTCTCTCCCTTTCCTCCATCAGCTTACCCTCCTCAGTCAATTGTTTTTCCTTACAGAAAAATGTAGCAATCACACCTCCTACTCTCTAACCCCTAAGATCTGGAAACCACAAATCCTCCTTTTTTCTTCTTCACTTGGCGCCCGGCGTCTCACCAACACGCAATAGCCACCCCTCTTTTGGTTGCTTCTGTTTCACCTTTACCCACAGGATCCAAACTCCCATTGTAGCTACAACAGAAGATCTTGCAGAGACCACTTTATTCTCACTCTGCAGTCATTGTTCAAAAGCACGCAAAAAGGTGTGATTTCCTTCGCAACACTGAAATTGGCGCGAAGAACCCTAGATAGCAGCCACCTACTGCAAAGAGGTGTGACGGTGTGATACGCCGCTACTGTGCCCTATTAATAAACTAGTACATAAAAACATACTAAACAAAAAGCTTGATGGGCAGATATGTACATATGTACAGCCATCTGTCCCAAGTCCCAACGTTCAACAGCAGATGCAGATTCTTAGTTTCACAGTATAGTTCTCAATCATTAGGATGACCCTTGTGTTATCATGTCTTGAACCAACTCTCCACAACATGGTACTGGCACAGAATCAGTGTGTGTGATATGATCAGTCAAATAATCTTTCCTGCAACTATGGGAGATCCTGTTTAGTTTATCCGAAAACGGTATGAGCTATTGAAGCAAGATACATATACCACTTATAAGATAGCTCAGCCAGCTATGTTCACAAGAATTAAATTCCCTGTAAAATGCAAAATTACCTGAAAAAGTAAAACAGAAAATGTGGCTCGACCATGCCGAGATGTGCTCTCGCCTCTTTCCTGCAACACCTGTAAAACAAATTCACCACAACTATTACAGCATGGCAGACTCCCAGGAAGAAGAAAAAGATAGAACATACAGTATATTTTCCCATTTGATAACAAGATAACCTTCACTGCAGATATTTACTCGTCAAAACCTTTCAACAAAAATTATTTGATACAAATACAGGCATTTGTGAACAGATGCAAGCTACAAAAAAAATTGTTAGCATTTACTTACAATTATTTTCTGCAACTTTTTTAAAAACGGTTGACAAGTCTATATTAATTTGTATATGTTCTATTTTGTAAATTTTATACATATCAACTTTTTATATTTTAGATTTTATATTTCTAAAACTATATAGCATACTAATTATTATATACTATTCTACTATTGTTTACTTATAAGAGTGATTACATACATTATGCTTATGACACAATACACATGATATCGTGTCTTGTTTGTGTTGGAGGTGTATCAAAGTAAAAATACAACAAAACTATTGGACACTTAATGACATATTGCAAGGGTGTTTTTTTAAACACATTTAAAGATGCGAAATACACAACAGTGCTTGTGCTCCATAAATTGGAATTAATTTTGAAAGAATTGATGCTCAAGAATTAGTTTTGAAACAATTGAGGTTATTAAATTTGATTTATATTTGGAAATAATACTTTATAAGTATAGAAGAGTTAGTATTAGTAAGTTTTGTTGAAATACAAGAGACTAAGAGACATTTGAATAAACCGTGTGTTTTGAAAAGCACTACGGAGACATTATTATATATAAATAGAATACAAGTAATTACATGATATAGTCGATGTGGGACTATTCTATATACAAATATTCTCAACACTATATATATATATATATTTACACATATCAACACTCCCCCTCAAGCTTGAGCATATAAGTCAAATGCACCAAGCTTGTTACATATATAGTTAGTTCTGGGGCTTCGTAGGGATTTTGTAAACACATCTGCCAATTGATCATTAGAGTTGACAAAGCTTGTGACGATGTCGCCTGACTCGATCTTCTCTCTGACAAAGTGACAGTCTATCTCAATATGTTTGGTCCTCTCATGGAAGACTGGATTTGAAGCAATGTGCAATGCAGCTTGATTATCACAAATAAGTGTCATTGGTCTTGCTTCTTCAATTTGAAGTTCCTTGAGCAACTGTTTTAACCAAATAAGTTCACATGTTGCCATTGCCATGGCCCTATACTCTGCCTCGGCGCTTGATCTTGCAACTACATTTTGTTTCTTACTTTTCCAGGAGATAAGGTTTCCTCCAACAAGTACACAATACCCAGAGGTGGATCGTCTATCAATGGGTGACCCTGCCCAATCAGCATCAGAGTATCCAATTATCTGGGTATGTCTTTTATCCTCATACACAAGACCTTTTCCTGGAGCACATTTGATGTATCTCAAAATCCGGATAACAGCATCCATGTGTTCCTGACAAGGAGAATTTAAGAACTGGCTTACCACACTGACTGCAAAAGAAATGTCCGGACGAGTGACTGTGAGATAATTCAACTTTCCAACCAATCTCCTATATCTTCCTGAGTCAGATAAAGGCTCCCCCTGATTGGGTAGTAGTTTAACACTTGGATCCATAGGAGTATCAGCTGGTTTAGCATTTAACAAACCTGTTTCTTCCAAAATATCCATAGCATATTTCCGCTGAGAAATGACCAGACCATCTTTAGATTGGGCTACTTCAATACCCAAGAAATAGCGGAGTTTACCAAGATCTTTTGTCTGAAATTGTTTCGAGAGATGTTGTTTCAACTGGAGTATTCCCTGCTGATCACTACCAGTTATGACAATGTCATCTACATACACAATAAGATAAATACACCCTTGGGGTGAGTGACGATAAAAAACAGAATGGTCAGCTTCACTACGGGTCATACCAAACTGTTGTACTACAGTGCTGAATCTGTCAAACCAAGCTCTCGGAGATTGCTTAAGACCATAAAGAGACCTGTGTAGCCTACAAACCATATTCGATGACTCCCCCTGAGCAACAAACCCAGGTGGTTGCTCCATATATACTTCCTCTTCAAGATCACCATGTAAGAATGCATTTTTGATGTCAAGTTGATGAAGAGACCAATGTCGAATGGCTGCAATGGCTAGAAGAAGTCTAACAGATGCCATCTTGGCTACAGGCGAGAAGGTATCACTATAATCCAACCCAAAAATTTGAGTGTATCCTTTGGCTACCAAGCGGGCTTTAAATCGATCAATCTTGCCATCTGGACGAACCTTCACTGTATAAAGCCAACGACAACCTACTAAAGATTTCCCATGGGGTAGAGGAACCAGTTCCCAGGTACCACTGCTTTGAAGAGCACACATTTCATCAAGCATTGCTTGCCTCCACTCAGGGTGAGATAATGCTTCACCTGGAGTTTTAGGAATAGAAACAGAAGACAAAGAAGACAAACAAGTATACTGCAAAGGGGAAAGACGATGATAACATAAATCAATATAATGTGGAGAAGGATTTCGTGTTTGACGTATACCTTTTCGAAGGGCAATCGGAAGATCAGACTCAGGTTGCAGGACCGAATTCGATGATGGCGAGAGCGTCGGAGGAGAGTCTGTAGTGACCTCAGGGACAGGTACGACCGTAGTGACTTCAGGGACAGGTACGACTTCAGGGACTGGTACGACAGACTTTGGGTGACGACACTGATATGTTTGAAGTGGGCGAGGAGTGGGGGGGTCAACCGTAGGGGTAACTAGTGGGTCAGGTTCCCTAGAATGATGGGGGATAATGACAGATGGGACTTCCGGAAGAGGTGTGGGAATACTTTCCTGTAGAGGTTTCGTAGTAACTTGGCTGGATTCGAAATATGGAACAGACTCGAAGAAGGTAACATCGGCGGATACGAGGTATCGTTGTAGAGTATGTGAGTAGCAACGATAACCTTTTTGGGATCGATGATAGCCAAGAAAGACACACTTTAGTGATCGAGCTGATAGTTTATCAAGACCAGGGGAGAGATTGTGTACAAAACACGTGGACCCGAAGACTCGAGGAGGAATTGGGTGGAGTGGAGAGTTTGGAAACAAGATTGAATGAGGAATTTTATTATTAAGGACAGATGATGGCATGCGATTTATGAGGTAACATGAGCACTGCATCTCCCCAAAACCGGAGAGGAACATTACCATGGAGAAGTAGGGTCCGAGTGGTTTCTATGAGGTGCCGATTTTTGCGTTCGGCTACCCCGTTTTGTTGGGGTGTATGAGGGCAAGATGTTTGGTGCAAAATACCATTGGATGACATAAATGTTTGAAATTGTTGGGATAAATATTCACGTGCATTGTCACTTCTTAAGGTACGAATAGACAAACCAAATTGGGTTCTTATTTCTCGATAAAATTGTTCAAAAATGGAAAACAATTCAGATCTATTCTTCATTAAAAATAACCACGTGCAACGTGAAAAATCATCAATAAAGGTGACAAAATACCTAGACCCAAGAGTAGAGACAGTACGCGAGGGACCCCAAACATCGGTGTGAACTAAAGCAAAAGGGGACGAAGCTCGTTTGTTGACTCGACAGGGAAATTGACTACGAGTGTGTTTCCCTAATTGGCACGACTCACAATGTAAATTAGATACCTTCGATAAATTTGGCACCAACTTATGTAATTTGGAAAGACTGGGATGACCTAACTGAGCATGGATAGTGAGTGGAGAATCTTTGGTTGAGCATGCCTGAGATGACAATGAAAGGTAGTAAAGGCCTTGAGACTCATATCCGACGTCAATCGTCTTTCCCGAACTCCGATCCTGCAGGGTAACATTATTATTAGTGAAGGTGATACTACAATCAAGAGAACGAGTTAAACGACTGACTGAAAGTAAATTAAATGGACAATTAGGTACATAGAGGACAGAAGTAACAGATAGAGAAGGTAGAATTTGAACAGTACCAATCCCTTCGGATCGGGTTTGAGAACCATTGGCCGAAGTTATAGTAGGTAAGAAACCAGAGGTAGAGAGGGAAGAGAACAAATTTTTATTACCAGTAACATGATCAGACGCACCAGAATCAAGGACCCAAGGTCGAAGAGGAGATGATTGAGAGAGGCAAACAGATAAATTACCAGTGTGTGCTACCTTAGCAGTAGAATCTGAGTTCTGATAATTCTGATACCACCTGAGGAAATCATCGTAGTTTGGCGTAAAGTTCTGAGGAGTAGCCATGAGTATCTGAAGAGAGAAAATATCACGCGATCGATCGCTGGCCGGACGTGCTGTCACGTGCGTTTCAGGTGGCGGCGCTGGATGCCCACGCGCAGAGACGGAGGTGGCGCGTGTGAAGGTTTTTGCCGATGAAAAAGTTTGCCGGAAGGTCGTTGAGAATAGCAACGACGGCGGCAGCTATGCGTTTATGACCGAAGAATTTTGAAAAGTGAGGCAAACCGGAATGACAACACGGTTTGCAAAAAAAAAAATTTTAAAAAATTTCTCACCGGAAGACAGTGGGTCAACCGGGTAAAGCACGGCGAAGAAAGAATTGCCTCTTAGCAGGCTCTAGATACCATGTTGAAATACAAGAGACTAAGAGACATTTGAATAAACCGTGTTTTGAAAAGCACTACGGAGACATTATTATATATAAATAGAATACAAGTAATTACATGATATAGTCGATGTGGGACTATTCTATATACAAATATTCTCAACACTATATATATATATTTACACATATCAACAAGTTTATTCACCATAGAACTAATTTTTCCATTCCAAATTCAACCAAATGCAAAAGTTCTTGAAGCAACATCATTGTGCTACCCACAAAACATCATTGTGCTACCCACAACTTCCATTTGGATTTTATCCAAACAGGAACAACCTGGCTTGCTTCTCCCGAGTCATTGGAAGAGATTAAGTTGGCTCTTCAAATTAGTCAGTGAATAGTTACATAGTGATGTTTTTATTTGATTATTTCTTTTCAGGAAAGAAACAAAAAATTTCAAGAATATGGATTTTCTATTCAATGAAGTTAATAAGATACAAAAGGTTAGTATGCTTTAGCATGAGATGGAATGTTAAATGATAAAAATAATCTTAAAATATGTAAATATCTTTTTAAAGTATCTTAGATTATCTTAGGATTGATTTCCATATTTTTTTTAGTTTTTTTACGAAATGTGTTTATTAGTTGTTACAATGCTTTGTTCCCTATTATATTAGGATATGAGTCTTGCATATTCCTATAAATAAGGGTCGGTGTTTAGTTTTTTTATATCAAATCACCAATTATGTTAAACCATAATTATAAATTTGATGTCTCTATTCTTTCTCTTTACTCGTTATTTGAAACCCTGCCATATAACTTCAACAATGTTTATTTTTTTCACGAACTTACATTCCATGATTCTCATTTATTTTGACTTTGCTAAATTTTTGAAATTTGCAGCTTTAGTTACTACATGGTTTATGTGAGTTTCATTAGAATTAACTTGTGATAGTAGCATTGAATTGTAATCAAAATCTAGAAAGGAATGCTATTGGCATTTTTAGTCTAATTATAAGTTTTAAATATCCATGATGGCTTTCAGCATTACAGCAACGTTTGTCATTAGCGAGGAAACAAAATGACATAGATGTGCATAATATATTCGGATAAGCTAATAGCCGAGGAGAGGACCCCTAATTTTTTCAGTGGTTGTAAGGTGAGCAGATCTGAGCCAGAAACTAATATCAAGTGAAGCAAAGCCCCTAGATTGTGGTGATTGTAGGATGAATGTACCCTAGCCATGAGATGTTAAATGAGGCAAGGCCCCTAAATTGAACTTAAGATGAGAATTATATTTGACTTGGTGGACTGAGATTACACGTATTCCCTCAACGAGTTCGTGTGTCTTACACTCTTACCCCATTTTTCTCAGCAGTGTATAAGAAGCAATATGGGATAAGGATAGTTTCTTATTTTAAATGTCTATAAATTAGTGTTTTGATGTGTTTTTTTAGCATATCTGCCTTTAGGTTAATTAAGAGTTAACACTGATATAATTAGATAAAGGATATCAACTCTGGTTGATGTTTCTACTTTCTAGACACGATGAGTGTGTTGTTGAACAGGTTAAATTGAAATGGATTTCGGGAGAGCTTCTACTGAAACATTGAAAGCCTAATGACAGAATTAAAAACAGTATTTTAGCAGAATTTTATTCTTAGACTGGCCAGACTAAAACGAGTATTGTTAATCTGTGCATTGATTAGCATAAAATCAGGCTGTGACAATAAACGGAAAGCAGAGATGTTAAACTGACTAGCGTGTGAAAGTATACCACAAGGTCAAAGATGAAATCCCCTTGAAAAATGAAAAATTAAAAGCACATAGTGCTTTGGTTATTAACCTGCAGAACAACGGCAGTGGATGATAAAGCCAGGCCATTCCCGATAACTATAGCAGCTGGGCCAGGTAGACCACAGATATAATGAGCCACCAAGCCAACAACTGCAGCAGTTGCCAAAACCTGCATTTGTTGTAGTCATATGTGCCAAGAAGTGTTAGGTAATACATTGCTAAAGTATGACAGATAATAGCTTTGAGGTGAACATTAATAACAAGGACGGGAGATGGAGATTTCCAATCACCTGCGCAGAACCTAATCCAAAAACATATTTCTTCATAGAACTGAGCCTTTCAACAGAGAGCTAAAACAACAAAGTAGTTCAAATCTTCAGTTTAACTCTTAATTAGTTGATAATGATGATGTTCAAAGTTACGGTATAACAATAGGAACCCGCACCTCCAGGCCAATGTTGAATAAAAGGAAAACAACTCCAAATTCAGCTATTGCTTTTGTCGCATGAACATGACGAATGATGGAGAGACCGTAAGGCCCAATCAAGATACCAGCAGCCAAGTAGCCAAGAACGGGACTTCCTAAACATTGTTACAAGATGGAGAGTATAGCATCAGCATAATGAAATGTGAATGTAGGAAGAATAATTTTATTATGCATGGATATAGAAGAAGCTAAACACGTCCTGATAATGGTTAGAACCTTCTGACAAAAAGCACCAATTTACTATTTAAGTAGAGTAAAAAATATCCTTAAATGTAATAGTTTCATAGGGTCAAAACCAAAATTTACAAACTCTGACCAGACCAGACCGTAGTCAGAACAGGTAAGCCACGAACCAGTCTGTTGGTAGGTCTGATAAGGCCTCAGAAACTGTGTTTGAAAATTATTCTGAACCGCTTAAACCATGCAAACTGAACACTGTTTAATGAGAACCGTGTGTGCGCGTGCGAGTGCATGTGTGTGTGCGTGCGTGTGCGTGTGCGCGTGCGAGTGCATGTGTGTGTGCGTGCGTGTGCGTGTGCGTGTGCGTGTGCCTGTGTGTGCGTGCGCGCGTGTGTGTGTGCGTGTGCATGTGTGTTGTATAGATAGAGTACGAGTATTACCTATCATATAAATTTACATTTATTGTACTCTTTCAATGTTACTTCAATCTTAAGTATATATGTGTATGTGTTAAATATTAATATTTGCATAACGACATATATTTATAGAATATATAGGTATATGTTTAAAACTCTCTTCCACCTTCATCAGACCTCAACCAAAAAGAAAAAAGACTCTATTCATCAGTTCAAGGACCAATCCAATTAGAAAACATTGATCATAATTGATTGTCATCAAAGTTTCATTGAAGCAACTATGGAGCTCGGTGCCTAATCACATTCTGTCTAAAACATCTAGTCCTAGACAAGCAACTTTGTCAATACTATGTTCAATTCAGCACTAAGAAATCACAGTAACTGAGTTACCTCCAGGGATTTTTTGAAATATTGGCACAAATATAACACTTGCAAGTAATAACCAGAGCATGTCAAAGAGGGAGGCTTCTTCCTCATTCACCTGGGATAAATATTTTACACTACACTCAGATGAAATTTATAAAATTGAGCATAAGATTAAGGAAGAAGTATGAAGAAAAGCAAACCTCTTGATGAGGTAACGACGCAATGATTTTCTTAATTTTCTTGGGGATTTTCTGGAGTTTTCTAATTAGAGGCTTTGCATTAGAAGAAAATTCTTCAGCACTGGTCGCAATAACATCTGCCTGTTGAAGGAGCTGAGTATTTTTCTCTGCCCTATTGGCATAGACAGCAGCTCTGAAATAAAAATATCCACCATATTGTATAAATAGTTGCATATAAGTTTACATGGCAAGAAGGCACAATATAGTCTCCTTTAAAATTTGAGATTTTATCAATCCACCCCCTAAAAACGTAGGGGGCTTACTGGAAGCGTGCTTCCTGTAGTGTATTTTGACAGGAAAATACACCACCGGAAGCAAGCAAAGCATATAAGGGGTGGATTGAGAAACTACCTTAAAACTTAATGAGCAACTCAATTAGAGGTAACATATATCATGATATCTATGCGATATCTCTTTGTTGCTTGATATTCTGTATAATATTACCCAAAAATCTTAAAAAGCAGTCCTAATAATTAGAAAACTTGAAATAGATAACAATAAAAGAATAAGAAATCGGAAGATTATACAGACCCTGCTCCAATTAACAATAACCCAAGAACTAGCTTGGGCAACTGCTTCTTCGCAGATAATACGAGGCCCTGGAAAACTGATGCTGGTGTGGACTCAGCCTCCTCTTCAGTAAAAGAAAAGAATGATGCCGGAAAGAATCGAGATGATTTTTTCAATAATGCTTTGGGAGCAAATGGTGAACTATCTTTAGTAAAATCTTTTTGTGCTTCCTGCTTTTTTGTTTGGACGGCATTATCATTATCACTTGTATAATCAGATTGTGCTGTGTCATCGGAAATTTGGCTGGTCTGTTCAGATTGTGTTTCGGGTGATAATTTGGTAAGTAAAGATGCATCATCAATTGTGGCCAAATCTCTATCTCTACCAACCGTGACATCATCAGAAAATATTTCTACCGTGTTCTCCTCAGAAACAAGCACAGCATCTTGTACTTGAATAGTTTCCACAGTGTCAGCATTCGAATTTGAAACAGACTTATCAGCTCGCTGTAAAGCAATCTCAGCATCATTCACACGTTGTGTAACCTCAAGTTCAAAGGCAACAGCTTGTTCCGCTAAAACCATTATGTTTGTAACATCCTCCTCAGCTTTCATTGCATCCAGCTGTGCCTTTTCAGCAATTTCTTGCAATTTGCTAACTTCCTTCTGCAACTCTTCCTTTTTATTTTGAAAGCGCCTCAACTCTTCCTCACAATTTGCCAAATTTTCCTGGCATTCCTTTATATCTTCTTGCGCAACAAAAAGTGTGTTCTCCTTTTCTGTTAAGTCCCTATCTCCGTCACTCTCATTAGAACCTTCAGGCACTTCTTTTGCAGCTTCTAAAGACTCTATGGCTACCTGTAGTCTTGCCTCGGCTAATGAAAGAGCCATTGTAGCATTTTGGACAGCATCTTTGGCCATATGTTCTTCATTTGCAACTTTTTGAATGGTGTCAAGGGCGGAATTAACATCATTCAAAGATTGGGCTGCTTCATCGTGCAAAAAGATGGCAGTCTCTGATATTTTTTTAACCTTTTCCTCAAACATAGTACTGTTTATCTGTGCCACTTCAAGCTCTTTCGAGGCCTTCTGCAGTAGTTCTTTCAATTCTTCCACATTTTGCACCTCTACTCCTATTTCCTTCCCAACTTTCCCTTCTTCTTCCACAGGCACATTCGATCCATCACTAGATACAAGTGCCACCTCTGCATCCTCATCCGAACCTTCCACATAATCAACATTGCGGCCATTTCCATTAACATAAGCTAAAGAATCATTACCCTGGCACTTCAACCAAATTACTCTGGATCCCAATAGAAGTTTCTCATTCTTACATGACATATGTCTCTTCGTGTTCAAAACTTTAAACTCGCCACTAGAAACGCAACTAAGTTTGTTCTCCACACTAAAATGTGATCTCGAAACACTCTTGCCCAAAAAACCAGAATCAAATCCTCTCCTTCTAAAGTCAAAACAACCTACTTGACCTACTAATTTTTGTTTGCAACCAGTTCCCACGCCTCCGTGTAAAATTCTTGACTGTGGCAAACTACAACCTAAATCCATATTCATATTTCCCGACCTTGCACAAACAATTTCACTAAACCAATCAGCAATTTATCAAAAACCTAATGAAAAACATAAGAAAGTCAGATGCGCATTAATTCATTCAGAGCAAAATAATTCACTAAATTTCGTAATAGAACAGTAACCAAACAAAAACCGTACGTGGATCTTTCACAACTGAACAACTCAGATACAACATTTTCCAATGCATTTTCCCTTACCTAATCAGCAATTAATCCAAAAACCGAGGCAAAAAATTCAAAAATAAAAAAACTATCGAATCTAACAAAAACTCAACACTCATTCATCAGAAACAAACACTTCACTGAGCTTAGAAGAGAGAAAAACGATATTGGAACAAATTCCGAGAGAATACGTTGCAAATACGTCGCTATGCATCGAAGAGTATAATATTTTGTGAATGAACAAAAAATGCGAAGATTGATCGAGAAATATAGAGAGAGAAATATGAAGTGAAGAATGAATCGACGTGGTGTTCGAAGTCAAACTCATTTCAGCGAAATCTAAGAAAACGAGAACGCACCTAAAATGACTAGGCAGTGACGACGTCGGAGTATCTTGGCAAGACAGCGACTGCAACACAACGGCGGTGAGCCGACGAGAGAAGCTGCCGGCGAAGAAACGATAAGAACGAGGACGACGGCGCTGCTTAATGCTATATGTTGCTTAGGCTATGATTTTTTTTTTTGCTTTTCACGGAAATTTTGCAATGAGCGAGGGACCCTTTTTTTCTGTCAGACGAACAAAAACTCTCTGAAACAATTTTTATTTAATAATAATAATAATAATAATAATAATAATAATAATAATAATAATAATAATAATAATAATAATAATAATAATAATAATAATAATAATAATAATAATAATAATAATAATTTAATAATAATAATAATAATAATAATAATAATAATAATAATAATAATAATAATCTATCAATTTTCTATTAATTTTCTATCAATTTTATCCTTATTACACAATATCTTCTCTGAAAAAACTACTATCATCTTTCACATAATTTTTTATTAATAATTTTTTACCTAAATTATCATCTTTCACTTAATTTTTTACTAATAACTTCCTACTTAATAATGATAATCTACGTATGCATATTAAAAAAAGAACAGACGAACACGCGAATGCTCATCTAAACATTAATAATGATAATAATGCGTTGTTTGTCTTTTTGAAGGTGAATAATCTATTTTATATTTTAGAAATACCTACAAAAACGACCATTGAGTATAGGAGGGGATATTCCTAAGCTATTTTGTCTTGGTCATCGTTTGGTTTTCAAAAGAAAGTGAAAGGATATAAAAATGAAGGGTGGTAAAAAATAAAAAGATTTTAGGGTTTTTTAAAAAGAAAAAATATAATGTGTTTCATTAATAATTAATAAAATAATGTAATATGGAAGGAGATAACAGAATATTAGATTAGTTATGAATTGAGTTGATCTAGTTATTAATTATTTTATTGAGATTAAACCTCACATTGAAATTTTGAATAACTAACAAAATGGACTTAAAATAACTTTGAGTATCAAAACATAAATGGCAAGAAAATTAATAAAATCAATCAATTATTTGTGGATGATTGATAAAGTTTTCTAAATTACGAATTAACAAACCACATAAAGAGATTTACAATTATTTCATAATGACAAGAATAATACAAATGCATGTGTTTTAAAAAATCTATATTAAAAAGGAAAAAAAAATCAATAGCATAAAAATACTATATAAATCTAACAAAAATATAAAATGAATAAGTAACCTACATTAGAGTGGAAAGAGAAACCCTTTTAATCAATCTATGGCGAATGATACTTTGAACCATTTACCATGCACAACTGGTGAGAGTCAATTGAGGGGAGAAGTCAATGAAGCATAGGATGGTCGGAAATTGGTGGAAGTACGTCAATGACTTTGGTCAACTTGTCACTATTATTCAATGTTTACTCTAGTTCTCAGGCTGCTATGGAGCTCTGGTCCTTTGATTCTGAAGAAGATATGCATATTTCTATACCAGTGTTGAAGCTTTCTATCAAGAAGAAATGATAGGAATGACATATCAAATGCGTAAGGCTTCAGCTATCCTGGTCTTTGGTGTTGTAGTTAAATGGGAAGTCTTTGTGTCAGACCTTCTTCAAAAGGAGAAAGAAGCGGAGCATATTGACGGCTAAGTTATAGAGCGGGGTCGGTTTCTTGACGATCTCTTTAAGTCGAGCAACCTTTTGAGGAAAATTGGTGATGAAGTGTGAGCTTTGAGTATCCTCACTTATTGGGTCAACTCAAATAATAAGAGAAAGGGATGTCGCGTTGTTGTTGGTTTGGAAGGTGTTGTCTGATATTAAGATCACCCTTGCTAATGTAAGCGGAGCTTTAGATTATTCTCGCAAGGTGATAAGGGAGTTAAAGGAGTCCTTAAACGAAGTTCGGGAAGGTTGAAAGAAGGCTCAAAATGACCTTCAAAAGATGCATTTTGAAAATATCAATAAGTCTTGGTGATGATTCAGACTTGTAGTTTTTTTTTAATTAGTTATTTATTTTTTATATGCTAACTTTTTTCATGTGTTGTTTATTGTTAAATAGATGGTTGTATGTCGGTGTTATATTTGCTTCATTGTGGGGTGTTGTTTTCTTTATTTGTTTATTGTGGTATTTACATTCCCAATATATTGTCACGGCTCCCGAGCTAGATTTTTCAAGATCTGGCCTTTGTTTGAGGTCGTGCTTGAAAATTTTTATTGGATGTCTCTGAGGATTGTGCTTGTTTAAGGGTGTTGCCTGTAACACCCCATTTGATTAATTAGTTATTTTGTGTGATTATTTTGGCATTGACATGGGTAAGGGTGTGTGTGAGAGCTTGGTGGAAGGAATTAAGTGGAATTAAGTCTTATGACAATATTGTAATAATAATAATATGAAGGTTTGTTTAATACTCTTTTTAGTCTCTTAGCTATACCTTGGGATCCATTTTGCTCCTCATTTTTTTTAAGTTCCAATTTGGTCCCTTACATTGTCAAGCAGAATCAAAATCATATTCATCACGTGGCGCTGATGTGGATATGTTCATTAAAAGGCTTATAAAAATTTTGCACACGCCCAGATTTGAACCTTAGTTCACTTAATTTCCAAGCACAATTCTTTACCACTAAACCACTTTTATTTCAGTAATTAATTTTACACTATTTCTAAAATATATTTCGAGAGTAAAATATATCAAGCTTGTTTCTCTTCTTCCCCAAACAATATAGGGTTTCATCCAATCACGAACTGTGAAGTTTTTCATCTAATTTTAATTCCATCTATTATGCAGGAAGTTAAACAAACATCAATCTCGGTTTCATCTAATTTCAATTTCATCAATTTCAATTTCATCAAATTTCAATTTTAATTGCTAGTTCCCTTGTGGGAGATATAATTATCCCCAAAACCTACAAAACAACGAAAAGCTTCATAATTTGAATCAACAGAGCAATAAGTGGAATAACAAAAGCTAGGGTTTTTCCAGAATCGGTGCCGACGTCAATGGCGATGCCTTTAAAGTTGCAGAGTAAGGGAATGGTGACGGCTTGAACGAGAGTGCAAAAATGTCAATCCCACAGAGACCAAACGTCAATCTATCGATTTCTATTGTTACGATGTTTATCTAAGGCAAATTAATCGGGAGTTCGTGAGTGCACAGTAAAAGTAAACTACGAAGATATAAAATTCAATTTAAAACAACAGACTTTAATGTAATTCACATAGTCGGGTGGTATTCCAAATGCTTGTAAATAGAACTTCTAATGGAGTAATGTCTTCTACTTATGAAAAGAACTAATTTAATGGGAACTGTCGCTTTCACGTATTCAAAACCGAGTTTATCCCTTAATCGAACCCCTCTTATTGTCACTTATAAAAATACGCACATTGTGTTAAAGTAATAAACCTATTTTTAAGAAATATAGTTTCTTGACACGGTTGAAAAGTATTTTGACTTGAAACTTTTAACAAAAAGAGGTCCATGCAAACCAGACTTTAAACCCATAAACGTGTCCAAAAATTGTTTTAAAATTGTTTTTCTAAAGTATGAAAAACTCTTACTTAACTGGACAGAGCGCTTTCGCTTCCTTTGAACAGTTAAGACTAACCTAGTTTAACCAAAGGTTGGACGACTTTCGATCTTACCCAACATAAATGAAGTGCAGAAAACTTGTGTTAAAAATCAGAATAACCCCTAAGTATTTCTATTGACAACTTGTATAGAATACTACTTTAACTATGATCCTGACATTCTAACCTTTAAAATTTAGCCGGACATGGAAATTTAAATAAACATGTTAAATAATACGAGAAAGTAAATGGTGCGAGAAAGTAAATAGTGCAGGAAAGTAAATAACGCGGGAAAGTAAATGTTGCGAGAAAGTAAATAATGCTGGAAATAAATAATGCAGGAAAGTAAATAATGTGGGAAAGTAAATGGAAACCTGCTCCAAGCTAGAGATTTTAAATCTGGTACAACTATTAATGACTGGAAAGAAAATAGCGGCATGATTAACTTCTACCAGAGTGCTCCAAACTCGATTACAGACTCGATAGGACAATGTGATAACTTCCCGATGTAAGAAGTTTATCACTTTACAATACTGAAAATATATGGCTTGAGTTCTGTAACTAAGCTTGAATGTCTAGAAAGGAACGAGAACTCATCTATTTATAGCCTAGGAAAAATACATGAAAAGACTAAAGTGCCCCCCAACTTCTTTTGGGAGGGAAAACATACTACAAGGGTGGCGCCCGCCATGTGAATCAAAGGAGGAAGAAGTGGAGATCGTGGCAGTTGATAGCAGTTGAATCTTATCCAAGTCATGGCCTATGCCATGTGTACAATTTCCTCAAAAACTGGTTTTTCTTACCCGTTTTTCTTCATTTCCTCGTGAGGGGCTCTGGGAATACAAAATTCTGAAAACTAAACAAAACAAAAGCATAACACAAGAA